TTTTCAAAAAAAAAAAAATAATAAGAAAGGATTTATTTTAATGATAAAAAAATAAATAAATAAAAGAACCTAACGTTAAAAAATCATAAGTGGATAATAGTCTGTGATACCCTAATATTTCATTACTCATTAGTAAAAACCTAATATAATATAGGTGTTAATTATTAACATATCCTCTTATATATAATTCCCGAATGTACTGAGCCTAAGTGTCAGGTTCGCATGCTTCGGGATTCTATATGTCAAAATTCCATGTTGTATTATTGGGGTTGGATAGATTTTAGTATAATTCAAATCAAAGTATAATTAGGTTCAGATTACCATAAATATGTTGATTTATTTATGATCATTTTAGATGTATTAATTGTATTTTAATATCATTTTATATTATATCATTTTAGATGTATTATAAATGTATTTTAAAAGTTAATAACTTTTGTATTTTTTATCGGTTCACATATATAATATATCAAATTAATCATCTTTTGATGAGTTTCGATTTGACATCTATATTGTATATATAAGATAAATAATTATATTTATATTCATCATAATGAAAAAATATTTATTAAAATTAATTAGAAAAATAAAATTATTTTCAATTAATATGTTTATGTATATGTTATAAGTTAGAAAAATTATTGTAATATAACACAAGTAAGTTGCACATGTAACAAGTGTCATACTAAAATATATATAATATATATTCTTTATAAAAAGTATTTAAATTTTTAATTACATTTTCTCATTAATTTTATTTTAAGAAAAAAAAAATTAGCAAGCACCCGTGTAATATGTGGACGTTGTATACTAGTTACATATATTTATGTTTACTACTTGTATTTTTCATAAATTAAGATGTGGGGATTCATGTGTTGTAACAACTAACAATAGCATATGAAATAGTAAATAGACAATATTATTAATTATATTAAATTTAAAATAAAAACATTATCTTATCTATCATTTGTGTGTGTATGTGTTCTAGATGTTTAGTAGATATATAAACATAAATGATAAGATTGATAAATCCTTACACCCAATTTTTTGTTTTTTTATATAGCACCCTCATGTCTTGCACCTTGATAAATCAGTTTTAAGTTGGTTTTGATTTTTAAACATTTATCACATATAATACTCATCCAAAAGAATAAAGATAAGTACTTATTAAAAAGAAAGAGAGATACTAATCTTGACCGTCTTAGCCTACTCTATAAATAGTGTTGGATTGCAAATTATAGCAACCATCAGAGAAAAAGAAAATAAATGAATAAACAGAGACATTTTGGTGAACGATTTTGCGAGTATTATCTTACAAGGTATGTTCTCTTCTTTATTATTGATTTAATTATAATAGTGATAATAGGCCAAGGAATAATACATCAAATTATTTTTCTAAACACAAAGATTTCAAATATCTCAACAATTTTAAGAACCGGTGGTTGAAGGAGGCGAACGGGGCCAACGAACGGTTATGTTTACGGTGACCCCGAACCCGACCTCGGGCTACTGAAACTTCATAAAACATATATCATATTAAAGTCCTCGTTCCTAGGATCACATTGGTCAAATTAGATTTTGATTTCGAGGTGTCGAAGATAGGTAACAAGTCATATATACGCATATTTGTCGTTGTGAGCAATCTGTTCGGTTTTGTTTTGTTTTGACCTTCAAAAATTATTCTTTTATTTTGTCTGTCTTCAGAGAACTTATAGTAAAGCTCATTGTCTTTATACAGGAACAAGAATTTTATAAATATCTATTTTATATATAAAGTTACGTTAAAAATACTATCATCATGCCAGTCTGTTTTATGTCAAGCATAATCATGTCGGTATGTCGGTTTACGGGATCTTTCAATGTAAATACCCAATTGTTTTGATTTTATTGTCTTCATATGTTGTAGTTTTATCTCTTATGTTTATAAAACTTCAAAAATAATTCTAAAATACTTTTTATATCAAAAGTTATGTTTGTTATACGGAGACTGCACATAGATTTTTACGACAAGTTTTTACAGCAATAGTAGTCTTTGTTTGAACACAATTTAGACCTTTTAAACGTCTTCTTTTGTGTTTAATAAGTAAACAAGAATTTTAAAGGAGTGTCTTGAGGTTGTATTCGGACTGGAGTTGCGATAATATGTATTTTCGTTTTGAAGTTATGATTAAAATACGAACAATGCGCCTAGTTGTTTGTAGTCAGATTTTGTTACAGTTTTACTTTGGTTTTGACTAGTTTTCACTATCCTAATATGCTCGTCTATGTTTTCAGTCTGCATATAAATGTAGGTTTGTGTCTTATGAATATATAGGAGTAATAATTAGTTAAATATGAATTTTGTAGCTAAAACTATGTTTAAAGAACGAAGTATTGCGCATGGTTTTAAATCGAGGCAGTAATTAATTTATTTATAATTCTTATGATATGTTAGTTAATTAATAAGATAATTTGAATTATAAATTAATGTACATATTTTATTATGGTAAGATCAAGTTAAACATACGAGTCGAATTCCATCTTTACAAGGCTATAAGCTAAGGACTCGAGGTAAGAACAACTCCATCTACAACTACAATGCATAAACTGAGTATTAAT